AATACACAGTTAGAAAAGAAAGAATAATAATAAAAATAATAAAATCAGTTGTAAAAGTAACTTAATTAACAAAAATAAACAGTAAATAATTGAACATTTATAGCTTTTTTAATGTGTGTAAATATTCAGAAAATCAACTATAATAAAACAAATGAAGTATTAGATAGTTCTAAAGTGAGATTCAGTTTGAAACGGAATGAAATAACCACACTTCAGATCCACCACCTCCTTTTCACATGTCAGCCACCGGCTCTCTTAAAACTTTCTCAAATGTATCTTCGAGGGCTTCTCCTTTGTCGAGGCAGATAAGGAGCAGATTCTCCTTTGTTGTGGTTGCATAGAGCATCGATGCTCAATAACATTTTTTGGTGGTTCGACTGGTGATTCTCCGGTCAGACGAACCCTATATTCTACGTTGTCTGTCCATCATGAAGATGTCATTTCTCTTACAGTTTTTTTTTGTTTTAAGAGATCAATCCCATCAAATATTTCCTCCTCTTTGGAGAGATCGTTTTCACCAAAAAAAAAAAATTAAAACATTTTCTCTTTACACTCGACAGGTCAATTTTTACAACAATTGATCTTCTAAAACTATCCATCTCTCTGTACTCTTTAGAGATACTGACATATACGAAACATAATCTAGTAAACCCAAAAACATGCAGTTTTAGTTTATTAAATTTGTTGCAATATTTTTAATTTTTTTTTTTGTTCTAACTTTTATATGATTTTGTTTAGAAATATGCGTATTATAATTGAATGTTTTTTTTCATTAATTGAATGTTTAATCTTATTATTTACTTACAGTGTAACAATATCGGAAAGTCACGTGATAGTTGCAACTTGTATACAAAATGATGAGTCGATATGGGTTCGAACGATCTGATTATTGAAAATGTACTGCATATGTTGAATAAAATACATCTTTCATCTTCCATATTAGGTGGGGAGATGCCTGGTTTACGCATTTATCATTTATGTCCATTAGACGTAAAATATCGAACAGAGTATTTGTCTCAACATCATCATTGAATCAGATTTTAAACATCGTCCTCCAAAAATAGTATATCTCTTCCTGAATCAGATTCCTACCTAGAATCATGAATTTCCAACATTTTGAGTCTTATCCTCGGGAAGTTAGGCCGAATCCCCACAACAAGTCAACTAAAAACTCTAAGTTTCAATGTGCTAAGAACTTAGATATAAAGAACTTCTCTTCTTTTCTTTATTGATTTAGAAACTTCTCAAAACTAAATCTCTCTTTCTTAGTCTTAAGGAACATCTCTCCTTAGACTCTGTTTATATAGATATTAGCTTCTTCTAATTCTATATGATAAAGGAAATATAAAACCTTATCTAGATATTAAACTATATCTAAAACCTTATTAAATAAATCCTTATGTTTATCTCTTTAAACAACTTTCTAAAGAGATAACTTCCTAAACAAGTTAGGAATTATCCAACATTCTCCCCCTTAATTCCAACTTGAACTCCGGGTGACTGTATAGCTTGAACTCCGATTAAGCTCCTCATCTCCTTGAACTTGTTTTTTGCTAAAGCCTTGGTGAGTATATCTGCCTTCTGCTCCACACCTGGTACGTACTCGACTTCTATCTGTCCGTTTTCAACACACTCTCGAACGAAATGATAGTGCCTAAGTATATGCTTGCTTCGCCCATGAAACATTGGATTTTTGGTAAGGGCTATGCCGGATTTGTTGTCAACTCTTAGCAGGACCTTCTCGTCTTCTACTCTTAGTAACTCACTCAGCAATTCTTTAAGCCAAATGGCTTGCTTCGCTGCCTCTGTTGCAGCCATAAACTCTGCCTCGCATGACGACATCGCGACAGTTTGCTGCTTCATGGATATCCATGTGATTGGTGACGAGCCGAAGTAGAAAATGTGCCCTGAGGTGCTTCGCCCATCATCTACATCAATGTTATGGCTACTATCGCTGTAACCAACAATCTTACTCGTCCCATCTCTCTTAAAGAATAGACCCATCTCGGTCGTTCCCTTCACATACCTCAATACATGTTTGAGTGCTTGTCCATGAGAACTTCTTGGACTTTGCATGTACTTACTTAAAACTCCAACAGCATAAGATAGGTCTGGTCGTGTATGTATGAGGTACCTAAGACATCCGATAGCCCTTCTATATTGTGTAGCATCAATCTCCGGTTCATCTTCCGCTTTTGATAGCTTTAGGTTTGACTCCATTGGAACATGAGTCAAATTACATGTATCCATCTGAGTATCAACAAGAATTCCTTGAGCATAGGCTTCTTGCCTGATCTTGATTCCTTCCGCTCCTTGAATTACTTCTATACCAAGATAGTATGATAGCTTTCCGAGATCAGACATCTCGAATCTTGTTGACATGTCCCTCTTAAATTTGTCAATAATCCTCTTTGAAGAACCTATAACAAATAAGTCATCAACATATATTGCTACAATCAAGAAATCCTTTCTTTCTTCCTTGAGGTAAACCGATGGTTCTTTGACACACTTAGTGAAGCTCATCTCCTTCAAAACGTGGTCAAGCTTGAGATTCCAAGCTCTGGGCGCTTGTCATAGACCATATAACGCTTTATATAATCTGAAAACTTTGCCTTCTTCTCCTTTCTTTGCAAAGCCTTCCAGTTGACTTACATAGACCTCTTCGTCTAGATCTCCATTCAAGAACGCCGTCTTAACGTCTAGGTGGTGAATTTTCCAACCTCTTGTTGCAGCAATGGCTATAAGGAAACGTATAGTTTCAATTCTTGCAACTGGTGCAAAGACTTCTTCAAAATCTATACCTTGTTGTTGCACATAACCTTTTGCAACTAGCCTTGCTTTATATTTGTTCACCGATCCATCAGCCTTTTTCTTAACCTTGAAGATCCACTTCAGTCCTATGACTTTCACTCCTTCAGGAAGTTCTACAAGCTCCCACGTTTTGTTCTTTGTGATAGAATCCAATTCGGCTTTCATGGCTTCACACCACACTTTCAAATTTTTTGCTTCATAGTAATTCTCTGGCTCTCCATCGATTGTAAACAACAATTTCACACTTTCGAGATCAGCCATAAGTACGTAATCGTCAAGATACCTTGGTCTATTGATTACGCGACCATATCTTGTCACAGTTTGGTGATTATCAACTCCTTGATTTTCACCTTCTTCCACGTGCACATCTTCTTCTTCATCATCTTGGTTTTCATGTTCTTGAACCGGCTCGTGATTGTTGTTGTTATTGTGATCATCACCATGTACGATTCCATCTTCAATGAAACCTCTTTGATAAAGCTTAAACGTACCTGGTTCTTCGTCCAGGTTACTTGTAATTTTCGACCAGTCCCAAGCTTTCTCCTCATCAAACACTACGTCTCTACTAACAATCACCTTTCTTGTGACTGGATCGTAAAGCCTATAAGCCTTAGAACCTTCTTCTGTCCCAAGATTTATCACCGTCCTCGACCTGTCATCTAGCTTCTTAAGATTAGGTGTGGTGATTTTTGCATATGCTACACAACCAAATACCCTTATATGAGCAACGTTGGGTTTATTTGTTGTGTAGCATTCGTATGGTGTTTGATCATTCAAAGCTTTGGTGGGAACTCTGTTGATGATGTATGTTGAGTGCCTTACTGCTTCTCCCCACATCTCATTCGGTACTTTCATAGCTTTAAGCAAGCTTCTTGTCATTTCCATCAAAGTTCGATTTCTCCTTTTGACTACACCATTCTGTTGTGGCGTGTATGGTGCTGTAAGGTGTCTTGCGATTCCTCTTTCTTCACAAAACCGATTGAAATCCGATGAGGTAAACTCTCCTCCTCTATCGGTGCGAAAGGTTTTGATGGATAGGCCTGTTTGCTTTTCTACCAGCTCTTTGAACCTTTTGAACCGATCGAATGCTTCGCTCTTTTCTTTTAACAAGATTGACCACATGAACCTTGAAAAATCATCAATTAGAACGAATACATACCGATTATTAGCTGGAGTTGGTGGTGTTATCGGTCCGCACAAGTCTCCGTGTATCAATTCCAAAGCTTGAGTTGCACGGTAGTTTGCTTTTGGTGGAAATACAACTCTCGTTTGCTTTCCTACCATACACACGTCACAAATAGTCTTCTCGTGTGTATTTTGTGGCATACCAATAACCATCTCCTTCTTAATCATGTTATTCATGACTCCAATGCTTACATGACCAAGCCTCGCATGCCAAGTTTTTGTAGCATCATTGTCTTGAACGTAAAGACACTTCGGGTAGCTAATCTCCATGGGTGTCTTGTAAAGTCGGTTTGCTGACCTTGTAACACGGACCAGAAGCTTTCCGTTTGGGTCTCTTAGTGTTAAAGTGTCACCTTTCATGTTTACTTCACACCCTCCTTCAGTCGTTTGCCCTAGACTGATAATGTTATGCTTGAGCTCCGGTATGTAATAGATGTCGTTGAGTTTCCTTCTTTCACCGGTCTTTCCTATAAATACTATAGATCCTTTGCCGACAATATTGACATACGAGCCATCTCCGAACTTTACTCTCCCTTTTATGTTATCGTCTAATCTTGAGAAGAAATTCACATTACCCGTCATGTGATTACTTGCTCCGTTGTCTAGATACCACTCACTGTCTGAGTTTGTTTCAAAATTCTTTGGAAACACCCTGTCTTCGTTTAAAAACACTACTTCATGAACATAAAGAGCATCCTCCTCCTGAGTTTCATTCATGTTTGTCTCTTGATGATTCATTGGTTTTTCAGGACATTGTGTTTCGTAGTGTCCTGTTTTATCACATCTCGAGCAGATTATCTTGGAGAGATCTTTCTTAGGCTTCTGGTTTTGCTCTTTGGTTTCACTCTGGTTCTGCTCACTAGTCCTTCCTCGACCTCTGCCTCTACCAGAACTGTTACTCCCTCTGCCTCTTCCGCCTCTGTTTCATCTCCCCCTAGCTCCACCGCCTCTGCTTGAGTTTCCGTACAACAGCTTTCCCTGGTCTTCGTTTCGAGTCTCTCCTCCTACTCGATCTTCGTATGCCTTATGCGTCCGACTATGTCCTCAAAGCCCGTTGTTTTGAGGTCTAGAACTTGCTCCAGGGAAGCTACGATGTGAATGTATTTGTGTGGAGGAAGACTTGTTAAGAACTTCTTAACCAACTTAGTCTCCTCGATTGTTTCTTCTAACGAGGCTGATTGAGCTGCAATCCCTGATATCTTGCCTGCAAACTCATCAACCGTGTCTGAGTCACTCATCTTTAATCGGTCTAACTCTGCTACAAGGGTTTGCAATCTAGCTTCTTTCACACGGTCTGCTCCCTGATGACGCGCTTTGATTGCATCCCACAGCTTCTTTGCGGAATCTTGCTCTCCGACTTGCAGAATAAGTGACTCATGGATAGATTGGAAGAGCAGGGCTGTCGCCACATCATTCCTCTTTGGATCGTCAATCCCTGGCTCGATCGTATCCCATACTTCGCTTACACGAAGTAAGATCTTCATCCTCATCGCCCACACAGTGTAATTTGTGGTCGATAGCATTGGACATTTAATTGACGGAGCTCCGAGCTCCTTTGTCTGTTGCGTTGCTTGAGTTACGTCTCCCATCTTGGCTTTATGAATTCACACACACAGGTCTCCTCTGATCTTTGCTCTGATACCAATTCTAAGTTTCAATGTGCTAAGAACTTAGATATAAAGAACTTCTCTTCTTTATTGATTTAGAAACTTCTCAAAACTAAATCTCTCTTTCTTAGTCTTAAGGAACATCTCTCCTTAGACTCTGTTTATATAGATATTAGCTTCTTCTAATTCTATATGATAAAGGAAATATAAAACCTTATCTAGATATTAAACTATATCTAAAACTTTATTAAATAAATCTTTATGTTTATCTCTTTAAACAACTTTCTAAAGAGATAACTTCCTAAACAAGTTAGGAATTATCCAACAAAAACATAATTAAAGACATGTGTGATTTGTACTATGTATTAATTTGGTTTGTTCTAGAAACCGAAATAAGAAAAATTTGTAATATAGTGATTTTGTCATTTTGATCAAAATGGGTAAGGTACTCGTCGTATGTGGCATTTACAATATTTAAAAAAGAAGCAAACATATCTTGATAGATGTATCCATCGACATAAAAGTTTACCATTACAATTTTAAAAAGAAGCAAAAATATCTTGATAGATGTATCCATCGACATAAAAGTTTACCAAATCCGGAAAACAAACAAACAATTCATTTAATTGAGACCATACTATATAAGCCTTTCTCTCTTGATATATCAAGGCAATGTTCCCATAAGTGTAGAGGAGGATAGTTTTGAATATTCCACATCCCTGAGCGACTCAACGTCTCTGCCTTGGAAGCTATTACATTGGAAATATGCAACGGTGTAAGTCACATGCTGAAACATCCTCACTGCGAAGACCAAACTCACAAGGACCAAACCGGAGGTTAATGTAACCGCGAATGACCGTCTTAAATCTACCAGCCTCACGATCTGAACTAAACCGAAGACCAATACACCAAAGAAAAGATTCAACAGGAATAGTTTCGGTTTTATGCCTTTGACAATCTTTGCAGCTTTCCCCAAAGCTTGGATCCCATAAGTTTCCTCAAGTATCGATATGACCATAGATAGGTTCCAAACGATAGCTAAATAGGACTCAAAGATCACAAACATAATCCATAAAACGATAATCCATAAAGTGCCAGACTTGGCTGGCAAGGAATCGAATTTTATAGAGAACAAAAGGATAGGGTAAAGGATTATAAAGAAGAGACACCAATAGCCAAGACTGAAGAGGAAAATGTAGAAACTGGTTACAAGAGGTCCCTTCCAAGATTGAAGGGTCAAAAGCGGAAAATCTTTGATCTTGATGATGTTGTCATCTTTATGAGTAAGAGCCGATGCATGGACGATGACTACAACGGACAAAAGGTTGATGATGGAGGAGACGACAAAGAAGATGTCTAAAGAAACGACAAATTGGCGAAAATCCGCAAAGACTCTCATAAGATGGGAAATGTAGTCCGGTGCGCTTGGATCTATAGGTAACAAACTTGCTTCAAGGATCAAGTTTGTTATCTCGTGTTTGATGGTAAGGACATTGAACAAGAAAACTAAACCATTGAGCAAGAGAGGAAATACCAAGACAGAGAACATCAACTTCTTGTTCTTGAGAAAGAGTTTGCGGGATTCGTTTAAGATACCTGCAACCTCCATAAGAACATTCAAGAACGTAAACCGATCCATATGGGTTGCAAGCAAAAAAAAAAAAGAACAAGTGAAAAGCTCTTGGATACTGGTTTTGGAAAAGATGGTTTAGGGTTTATAAGATCATACCTATCTGCTTAAATACTACTAACCAAAAGACTGATTGAGTGATTGACCCGGTACGTACTTTTCTATGGAGGAAAGAGCCTTTGGCTTGTACACCTACGGGGTAGCTTCAGTTATGGAGTTTTTTATCATCCATTTTGACTGAGTCCAAGTCTAGAGAGACACAATATATATATCACCTATTGGATCCAAATTCAAAAGAAAGAAACCAAGAGTTAGACAAATTCAAGGTCAATAAACCGAAGCATAAACACATCAAAGAAAAGTCTTAAAACAATGACTTCCTGATCGCGACATAACTTGAGATGTTAAAGAGAGCAAACAAGAGGTAAACATGTTCAACATTGCACCTTATCTACGTTCAGCAATTCGTGTTGAAACTGTCAAGAAACAAACGAAACGTCTACATCTACTTACATCTTGTTAAAGAAAATAAGGGTTCTATAAACAAATGAAGCATTTGGTCTTCTCAAAGGAACAAGTCATCATTTGAAATGTTGAATCCTTATTAAATATATAGCACATTATACTTTTTTTTGAACGTCATTCAACACATCATACTATTTGACCAAACATAAAAGAAACCAAGCTTCAAACACTGTTTAGGGGAAATTGTAAATTTGTAAATATGGTTTTACTAACCTTTATAATTCAATTGTAGTTGAAAAAAAAAAACAGAAAAAGCAGAGCACTTACAAATCTAGCAAACTACTTGTCCTATGATCAAAACATCTCCAAAATTCTCCATATGTTCTGCATCTTCCTCCCTAAATCTAACCCTAGCTCTGCAAATCGGGCAAGTCGCGGCTTTGAGCAACCAACTGTCCACACACTTCCGATGGAACACGTGTCCGCAACCGGGAAGATTCCGACACCACTGTCCCTGTCTGAATCCATCAAGACAAACCACGCAATCGCTTGTGGTGGGTTCGGAGAATTTGAATTGAGGAAGCTTTTTCACGACTCTCGAAGAAAACCCATCTGAGGATTCGTGTCGGCGATTACGGCGACGGCGTCGTAGGTGGCGATGGAGAGAAGAGAGGAGGAGAGGGAGGAGAAGAACAGAGGCGATGCCGATAAGGAGGAGGAAAAGAGAGAAGATTAACATCATGATAACACCTACGAGAAATATAGAGAGAATCCTTGTTTTCGGCTTTGGCGGTGGTGGATACGCCGAGGTAGACGGTGGTGGCTCGCCGGAGATTCGGTTATTATTTGTCGGAGGCATCGCCAAAATAAAAATCTCTCCTTTTTTTTCTTTTTTGATTTTGGCTTCTGTCTCTCTCGTACCAGAATTAAAATCTAATGTGAGAAGCTAAACAAGGAAAGATTTTGATATTTTTTGCGAACTGAAATTCTAAATCAGTGGTATTTCTAAAAAGGAATATGACGCAATCAAAACTTTTCAGAGAAATCTCGAACTTTTTTTTTGAAGTTTGCAAATTTGAGATATAAAAATGGATTCCAATCTAGTAACGTTTGGTTAAAACGGTCATGTGATGAGTGACTTTTGTTTTACCTTTTTGGCTTTGGATCATGTGAACAAAACTTTTAATATTTTCTTGCTTTTTGGCTCTATGTCTGGAATTTATAGTAGATGTGTATCGAACTATATAATAAGATACTCGTGTTAATAAATATCTTCTTACCCAATTTAAAAACATTATCTTCATACCACTTTTTCGAAGCCATAATATGGAATATTCGGACTTTACCTCAAAAGTTATATTCTTACTAGGAAAGGCATATGAAACCGTTACTTAAATACTTCGGCCTTAATTGTTTGCAGTTTTTGGAACAGATTTTGGATTTTGTTTTTCAAAAAACCATTTTCTTAACCATTCAAGTTTTTGAATAAACAGATTTCCTAAATTTTAGGAAAACTAGTTTTTCAAAGTTTTTACATTTTCTAAATAGAAACCATAAACTACTATTTAGGAGTTTCTTCAAAAAAAAGTTACGGTACATTGTGTTTTCTTTTAATTTTTATAAATACTGTTTTTTCTCAATTATTTTTTATTTTATTTTTTTTTCAATTGAAAATCTTATTTCTACAATAATGTGAAGTAATGAAATAAATATATCTGCATTTTCGTTTCATAATTTTTAATTTTAGATCTATAGTGGTTTTATTTTTTGTGAGTTATGGTGTTTTTTTATAAAAAAATCTTATTTCTAAATTTATATTTTTATTATTACTTCTAAAATTTTGTGATTTATTATTTTTTTTATAAAAAATACGATTTTGAAAAAAAAAATATTTTTAGTAATCTTAAACACATGAAAAATGAAAAAGCATAATAACACTTTTTAAAAAATAATTATTGTTAACAAAACCAGAAACAAAACCAATTATATACCATTCAAGTTTTTAAGAAACCAAAATCTACAGCAAAATCAAAAACCAAAATTTTAAAACCAAAATCTAAAAATCAAAAACCATAACCCAAAAGCCAGAAACCAAAAACTAAAAACCATGCAAACAAACATAGAATTGTTATTTTTTTGTTTTCCACTTTTTTCTTTTATTCCTTTTTAATGAATTGAATTTGTATAGAATTATTTATGTAATTTGGGTTCCAAATTTTCGTAAGGATCTATGTTAGTTTTATAACAAAAAGTTTTGTAAGGTCATTTTTAACAATTCTCATTTGCATCGTTGATTGGTGAGGTGAATAATAAAGGCTAAAGAGATAAGCCGACAGAAACAACTTTCTTGGTAAGATCACTCGTTATCTCAACCACACTGATCAGAACCAGAAGAGTCTTGGTGATCCACAAGGTTGCGCATTATTTGTTTGTCCGGTTCTGATCCGTCATCTCTCGGTATCGTATACAGATCTGGGCCCGTTCAGCCCAGTAGCCGGATCCTCATGCAAATATATGTAATTCATAAACGTACTATACGTTTTACTTGACAAAGAGATGTACTGTAATTGTCACTTTATGTAATAAATGTCAACAAAGCAATTTTGTTTCTCATACGTCATACCTACCTCACTTTGACTAGTTTATAGGTGTTATCTGAACAAACCGAACTGATCTACGTCAAATAAAACAACTCATTCCAAAACTACTTGTAATCCAAGTTAATTCCTAATAAAATGATCTTTGTATCATTCACTCGATTTAGCCTTTAGTTAACTTCAAAACTACTAGTAGAGAAGAAGGAAATGGTTTCTCATTTACGGATGAATGTGTGAACCTTAATGTTTTATGTTTATCTTCATACTTATTTTAAATTTTGTGAATCATGAAACACATCATGATCATACATGCTGCTTCAAAGCTTTGATGTTTATATTCTTTTTTTTTTTTTTTTTTTTGCGTTGGAAGCAAGCTTAGAGTAAGTGCAACGGCGTATTCTCGTGTCGTTTCTACACATTTTAGAGCAATTAATTAAATCAAAAACACTTAAAAAAAAAGAGAGACGTCTCCAAATTAGGAGATTGGAGAAACGTATCTGGCGAGCACGTGGCGATTTGTTATTGGACCCAAAAAAAAGAAGGAAGAAAATGCATTCTCATTTTTTACCCGATAACTTTGTATTTTTTTTGCTTTCTTCGTTCTCTCCGTCGATCATCGCGAGTCGGCGATTCATCTGGATTCTTCGTCGGCGAGTGTTTCAGACGGAGGCGTCGATGTCCTCACAACCTCTGCTTGGCGGAATGAAGGAGCTTGGACCGATCGAAGCTTCTGGATCCATGTATTTGTCGGCGAAGGTAAGCAAAGAGTCAAGTGAAATTGTTTTGATTTTTGTATTTAGATTCTATGTCTGGGATGAAATGGTTTAATAAAAGGGTGTAGAGGTATCGGGTTTAGGTTGTGATTGGATATCTATGCTGATTTAGTCTGGGATGAAATGATCTTCGACTTTGGCTTTCATATCGCCTCAATGTGGAATTTTGTTTTTGCTTTGTCTGTTCTTGTATTGAGTTGTAATTCGACAAGATACACTTCTGAGCTCTATTACAAAGCTAAAGTAAACAGAACTTTTTATTAGTCTTAAACTAAGGATTTAGTTACATATACACAAGAGGAGAATTCCCTCTAACTATAGTTGTGCTGTGTTTTGCAGAGCTGGGAGTGTTATACTGGAAGTTGAACCCTGAGAATTACGAGAATGTTTTGGAAATGAGGAAGATTAGAGAAGGAAGGGGTTACGAGTACATGGTACGCAGATTATGTCTCTCTGATCCCCTTTTTTCTAACTCATGCTCACCATAAAAGTCCATTGGTGTTTCAGTTAATCTCACAATTACATTTGTATCAGTTTTAGTTAGTTTAAGTTTGGCTTCCATCTTTTTTTTTCTTTAAGTATCGATGTTTTTGTTTGATATTTGTATTAGTTTGACAAGTTCATTAACTCTGATTGTTTTGTTTATAGTTTAAGTTCTGATCGTTGGTACTTTATGGTTCCGGTAGTAATTAGTAAGCTAACCTGAACGTTGGTATTAGTTTGTCAAGTTCTTTAAATTTGTTTGTTTTCTTTATAGTTGAAGTTCATTAACTGTGATTGTCTTATCCAGGTCTTGTTTGTGTAGTTGTAGTTCATTAACTGTTGTTTCTATATGTGCTGTTTGCTAACTCTTATTTATTGTCGCCTTTGTTCTCTGCACGAGGAGTGAATGCTGCAGAATGACAGGAAGAGGAGAGAAGAAGCACATCGGCATGAAGCAATCCATGTTCACCATCCTGAAAAGGTTAGATTCAATCACTTACTAGGTAGTTGTATTAAATGGTGGGTTTAGGTAGTGTTAGATAATAAATGGAATAAGGGATTAGTTAATGTAGAAGGTAGATATCTGTCTAGTCAAGTCTAAACCCTTGTGATAAATGCTTCTTGTCTATGGTTGTGTTTAAGGTAGCCGTAGGATACTATTGTTCCCTCTTCTTCATGCTTTTATAAATTCTTCTATTTTTTCCCATTTCTTTCATCTTAGTCAAATTGTCTTCAAAGCTCACAACCTGTTCTCTCTTTCTATTCTCTCTTTCTCTTCTCTCGTTCTCATCACTTTCTATTCAACCATTATGTCTTCTCGCTTCCCATTTAACAACACCTCAAACTTTGTTGATCTTTTACAAAGTCAACAAGAGAGTGTGTCACCTTACCCAAATCCATACCCTTCATTCGAAAACCATGCCTTCGGTACCCAAGCTTCCACCGATGAAGTAGAAGAGGTTGGAGTGACGAGCAAGGTGATAAGACGACCGTGGAGTCCTGCAGAAGATACCCTTCTCATCAGTGCGTGGTTAAACACCTCGAAGGACCCGGTTGTAGCAAATGAGCAGAAAAATGGAACTTTCTGGAGTCGCATAGCTTTGTACTTCGCGGCGAGTCAAAACGGAGGAGAAGTCTGAGAGGCAGGGCAATGCAAACAAAGATGGCACAAGATTAATGATCTTGTGTGCAAGTTCTGTGGGGCTTATGGGACTGCAACAAGAGAAAGAACAAGCGGTCAAAATGAGAATGACATTCTAAAAAATGCGCATGCTATTTTCTTCAATATCCATAAGAAGAAATTCAGTATGGAACACGCTTGGAAGGAACTGAAGAACGATCAGAAGTGGTGTGATTTTTCAGCCAATAAAACCAATGGCAGCTGTAAAAGGAGGAGACCCGATGATGGAAATGCAGAGGGGAATGAAGATGGAAACAAGAATGGTGCAGCTAATCAGGGAACGGTCAGACCTCCTGGTGTTAAAGCCACAAAGGCTAAAAGTAAAAAGCTCGACGTAGTTGACGCTGTTAATGTGTTCAGCAACATGTGGGGTATGAAAAGAGAAGAATTGGTTTTGAAAAAAGAAACCCAGAAGATGGCTCTTCTTGATTCCCTTATTGCGAAGGGACCCCTCTGTGAAGAAGAAGAAGCTATGAAGATGCAGCTAATCTCCGAAATGATGCAGAATCAGTGATTTGGAACTTGGTACTTGTTTAGGCTGAATCCGTTATGTGTCTGTTATTTTTATGATTTTCAAAATCATGTTTGTGTCTGTTATGTTTCAGTTTTAGAATTGTCCGTTATGTGTTAGATGTGTTTGTTATGTTTCAGTTTCAGAATTGTCCGTTATGTGTAATGTTTTAATGTTTAAGGAGAATCTTTATTTACCTGGCTTTTAAAGTGAAAGAGTATAAAGGAAATGATGATGCTTGATTATGTATAAAGGAGAATCTTTATTTACCTGGCTTTTAAACTTATGTCTTTGTATTTCAGTGTTCAAAGTGAGTTGTGGAGACATAAAGAAAAGTAGTCACGGGTTCATCAAAGTAAAGATGCAGCTTACACAAAGAGACAACAACATGTGAGTCAATAATTCATGTCTTTGTATTTCAGTGTAGTGGAGTATTTGGCATTGTCTTTGTATTATTGTTCTTTTGGGTCCATATGTTCGGTCAATAACTCAATCTGCATTATTCTCCATCTTTCTATATATATGTACGTCTTTTTTAATACACACAATGTCCACAAACTCTTTTTCTCAATACGATCTTTTCATTCTCCTCTAAGCTATACTCTATTTTTCATTTTCATTCTGTCTTCTCAATTCCAACGCTTTTATTTTCTCGTACAAACTCTTTTATTTTCCCGTTGACACCAAATTCTCATACAAACTCTTTTATTTTCTCGTACTCCTCATAACCAAATTCTCTCATCTCGTTTATTTTCTTATGGCTTCTTCTTCCCAAACTCCCTTTGATGAAACTTATGATCAGATTTATGATCAGTTTTACGAACAAACATTCCAGAATCTCTTAATTGATTATGCTGATCAAGCAGAAGCAACCTCATCCAAGAAGAAAAGAGCTTTCATAGAAAGAAACCGAGAAGAAGGCCACACAAGATTGTGGAATGATTACTTCAGCGAAAACGCAATTTACCCCGATCACCTTTTCTGGCGACGTTTTAGGATGAACAAGGCATTGTTTTTGCGTATTGTTCATCGGCTCTTGATAACACCGTATTTTGACCACTTTTATGGATCGTTTTGAAATACTTTTTCTATGTTTTTAATTGCTTTTAAGTACTTTTATTACGTTTTTCTAGTATTTGTAGTTCCAAGACTCTTTTCAGGAAACTTAGGGAAAAGCTTAACAAAATGGATAGAAAACCAGATTTCAGCTCAGAGTCAAACCGTCAGAAGTTCACCCCTGATTGAAAGCCTTCTCACCGTCTGATCCAGCTCAAATTTGGAGACCTTAAAGATGGAAGTATCAGCTTTCCAGTGCACTTTACAGCTTGGCAATCCAACGGTTTAATCAAACGATACGCGAAGAGCAAGATGTCCCGTAAACCAGCCGGCAAGCACTTCCACCCGCGGCCAAACACTCATTCCCCCCGGTCAGAAGCATCCCGACCGTGGCCAAACACTTGTTCCCCGCGGTCACACTTGTCCCGACCGCGGCCATCAACCTCCGAGCCCAAAAAGCCCATTTCTGAAGCCCACATTTGGAGAAACCCTAAGTGACGTCCAAAGAGGTCTTGAGCACTATAAATACATGTCTTAGGAACCCTAAACAAAGGGAGATTGTGTAACCTAATACCATCTATCATTACTTCATATTTTTATTGTTTTTGCTTTAGCTTTTAGGGAGAGAGAGATTTGTTCTCTTGAACCCTTGTTCTTTATTTTTCAATTTCAGTTTCTATTATACTTATTAATACTATGTTTTTGATTTCGTTCATTATGTCTGAGTAGTTTTATTGTTGGGATTAAGGGATTTTCGATGGGGATTTATATGTTCGATGAGGATTCCATGAGCTTTTGAGCCGAATCTTTGAACTTTTTCTTCTGAATTCGTTTTTACTGCATGAGAGTAGCGTCATGAACTACAATCTGATCCAGATGCTTGATGACACGAAAGTGTTCATCAGGTATCAGATCTAGTTTGGGAGAGCAAAACAAACATAGGAGTGGAAACCTACATATGGGTGATTTGTGAATTAGGACGAGTCTTAAACATAATGCATCTCTTCTCTTCTAGGGCCAGAGTGGAAACCTACTGGTCAAGGTTGAGAGAGATAGTTGTCTATGATCACGACAGTGGCGTATTCATACGTCCGTGACTCCAGTTCGAAAAGTTTAAGCTAAGATCTTATCAAATTTACTCTCTAGCAATGTTTTGAATCGTTCGTACCCCTGAGAAAACTTCTCTGAACCCCAACGCCTTCTTTCTCATTGATTTACACCGATTTTTCTTTCAAGCTTTGGTTCAATATTGTCTTTCCTTTTTAGTTCATTTTCATTTAAGCAATTAGATATCCGTTTTTTACATTTTTAGTCATTTTTATTAAGTTTAGTTATTACGTCATTTAATTCCCGTATTCTCTTTTAAGATTTCGTTTTTGCATTTCAAACACACTACCAAACTCCCACAAAACCGTTTTGGTTCTAGACTTCCTTACTTTATACTTATTTCAAAGGCTTTTTGCAGAAAAAGATCCTCTTTCCCTGTGGATTCGATCCCTAAGTACTACAATCGATCATCTGTGCACTTGCGGCTATTGATTTCAATTAGGGTAAAACTTGACAACCCTCGACACACACACGACAGCACACATCAGCCCTCCAACGAGGTCACTTTCTTTAAACAGAGGCAAGATGCTCGGGGTAGACTTGGTCTATTGGCACTTCAGAAGTGTACAGCCGCAATTCGTCTATTGGCTTATGGCACGACACTTGATACCGTTGACGAATACCTACGCCTTGGTGCAAGTACAGCCCGTTCATGTCTGGAAAATTTTGTTGACGGAATTATAAATCTCTTTGGCGACGAGTACCTCAGAAGACCCACAGCAGACGATCTTCAACGTCTACTTTATATGGGAGAGGAGCGCGGATTTCCCGGGATGATAGGAAGCATTGACTGTATGCATTGGGAGTGGAAGAATTGTCCAACCGCTTGGAAAGGCCAGTATACACGAAGTTTTGGGAAACCCACAATAGTCTTAGAAGCGGTAGCTTCATACGGTCTCTGGATTTGGCATGCCTTTTTCGGACCGCCAGGTACCCTCAATGATATAAATGTTTTGGATCGGTCACCCGTTTTTGATGACATTATAAAAGGTCAAGCGCCGAGAGTTAATTTCTTTGTCAATGGAACGGAGTACCATTTGGCGTACTATCTGATAGATGGTATATATCCAAAATGGGCAGCTTTTGTCCAATCTATACCTAAACCACAAGGTCCAAAAGCATGTTTATTTGCTGAACGCCAAGAATCTGCCCGTAAAGATGTCGAGAGGGCTTTTGGAGTTTTGCAAGCTCGTTTCGCCATTGTCAAAAATCCGGCTTTGTTTTGGGACAAAGAAAAAATCGGAAAGATTATGAGAGCTTTTATCATACTCCACAATATGATAGTTGAAGACGAACGAGAAGGATACCGACACTTTAATGTTCAAGAATTCCAACAAGGAGAAGGAGGCGGAAGTTCTAATGTGGATTACTCGTACTCGACAAACATGGCAACAAATATTATAAATATGATGGATACCCGAAGAAAAATTCGATCACCAGATGTGCATCACAAATTAAAAGCCGATTTAGTTGAACATATCTGGCAAAAATTTGGTTAAGCTCAAAAATAAAACACAAGTTTAATGTATAATAATTTATGTTCTATTTGTTGTAATGTTTTAGTATTCAGTTTAATGTTTTAGTATTTCTTCTAATGTTGTAATGTAAAATAAAAACTGAAGTTTAATGCAAAATTTATGTTTTTATGTCAAATTGAAGTTTAATAAGAAATTTAATGTAAAATTTATGTAAAACTGAAGTTTAATGTAAAATAAAAACTGAATTTTTTTTTAAAAGTTTTTTTAAAGACCATTAAGATTTCTCCCATTGAATCATACAAAAATACAAGGTTTCTCTCTTGGGTTTCTACTACTAAAGCTATCCATTTTATTAATAAAAAAAGGGATAGAGACTCTAAATGGTTTTTCCAATTGTACATGTTCTTATAGGTCGTTCAATTTGTTAACTCAATTTGTAACACATAATTATTTTTATTTTGATGAATATTTACAATTTAGAAAAAGTTCAATATTTACATCATAAAAGTATCTAAACACAGATCGAGTTGCGTAGAGCCGCTTTGAATTACAATTCCTCATAAACTTTCACGATAATTGATACAATATATGAAAATGAACTTTGAACTTCAAACCCCCTTTAGTTTCTAGGAAATTTCCTTCGTACATTTGTGAAATACAATCCTCATCATTTATCTCTGCCAAAAAAAAAAAAAATTCAAAAAGTGAACTTTAAATTTCAAATCCTTTCTATTTCCTTGGAATTTTCCTTCATATACATCATCATATATTCATTCAACTCACCCGAAATTCTAGGTAGAGTAAGAAAAAATTGGCCCATCTGAAATCAATATACAATCAATAATGGAAGACTTAAAGTAGACCAAAGACTTTTCGTTTTTTTTTCCTCAAGTCTTTGAATCAAACAATAGATACTACATATATATAAATACTCTCTGCTGATCCCTTGCTTCATTATCTCATAAACCAGCAAGAACACTAAATAAAGAAAATGGTGCTAAAGCTTGTCATAATGGTGATAGTGTTTGCACAAATCTTAGCTCCAATCGTTGAAGCTGCTCAAGGAAGAGCTGTCTATTACAACCCTCCCTATACTAGTGCGTATATATACAATTATATATATACATATGTATCTATGTTTAATATGTTATATAAGTCATTGCTTACAAAGAAATAATGTAATCCAGGGTCTGCTTGTTCTGGAAGACAATATGAAACGATGGTGGTTGGACTCAAGAGCAATCTGTATCAAGGAGGTCGAGCTTGTGGTCGGAGGTACAGGGTTCGATGCATTGGTGCTACTTACAACTTTCCCGGAGCGTGTACCGGACGTACCGTAGTCGTCAAGGTAGTTGATTTCTGCCGGGAGCCTTGCAATGGCGACCTTAATCTCTCTCGTGACGCTTTTCAGGTCATCGCTAATACCAATGCCGGTAACATCCGCGTCGAATACACTCCGTAAGTTACATTCTTATATCTATTCATCTTCGTATCTAGGAGTCTTTGTCCTAAAATATAATAGTGAATTTCATTAAAATATATAGATCGACTGATTTTCCAAACAATATATAAAATCACTAGGCAAGATCTGAATTTTTTTTTACATCCTAATGAAAATTTGATATTCTTAATTGAAAATATATAGGCTATTTTCTGATCTGCTGCAGGATATGAAGTTTTTATTTTTTTTTGCTTGAACTTTGCAGGATATGAAGTTGATTGATTTCGTGAAGAGATGATTTCGTGGTACTATTCCAATAAATCGAATGGAACTAATAAGCTTGCTAAACTATATGTATGGATGGTCCTTTGTGCTGAAAAAAATTGTACTTCAAATAAGAATTCCAATGTTTCCTAATTAAACTTTTACGTTTATAAGATTTCTCATATTAAGGATTTATAAAATATTAAGTGAATGTTAAGAACTAATAAGCTTGCTAAACTATATGTAAGGATTTATAAAATATAAAATATTAAGTGAAGTGAACACTGAAAGACCAAGAAGTAGGACACTTTACGGAGTCAAACCAACCATGCTCGACACAATCTAAAGTAGATTTTTAAAAGTAAACCTCTGGTTTTCGACTTTGACTACAGTGTACACATTGGTGTTTAATTGAGTTTTCTCACAGTGCCCCCATATGCATAGAAAAAGCCTGACATTTATTTTATCGGTTTCATTTTAAATGTTCATATATAAATTCTAAACATCAAACAAAAATTTAAATGTTTAGTATATTTTTTTATCAATTTGATTTCATTTTCAAATATAAATCTACAATCTTATTGATCTCTCTAATAATTTGATTTAAGTTAATGAAGATAAAATAATATTTTTTTTGAATTCTGCATAAAGGAAACCATAAAATGACACTGGTTTTGAACAAGACAGAGCTTTTTTTATATAAAAAAATAAGATAGTGTATGTGGCTAGATGTTGGGATCTTAGCTTTTTAAGGTTCTTTTTTTTCGAATTTTAGTAAAAGGCAAAATAATTTTGATAGATGGTTAACCAATTACAGATAATTACCTTACCAAATTCAGATGAATAATTAATAAATATATAAAAACTGAATCAGAAGTTCAAACCGTGTATGACTAAAAAAAAATCTTAAACCTATATCTATGTCGAAGTTCATAGGTTAAAATTAAACAAATGTGTATCCATTTTTTTTTTTGGTTTAAGTATGAGTGGGCTTGTTAAAAAAATGAATGAATGGGCTTTCTTGCCATCCTCTCCTAGAATCAAGCTAACAAAAATCTCTTTTTTTTGTTAGAAAACAAAAATTTATTTTTAAACTTTTCAGTTAACTAATTTATAGTAATGGTCCTTCAGTTCATGAGTTTGAATTTGAAGTTTGAACTAATGTCTGAAGTTGACCTACCAACATAAATTTTACGATGCCTACCAAATTCCATCTTGGCTGATTCGCCTCTATATATTTTTTAATATGTGAAGTTAATGATGGACTAGTATTAATTACTAGTAGAAAGTACTCTATAGGTTACCAATAAATGATGGAACCCGAGCAAGTAAAATACTTATAGTACTCCGTCTTAATTAAAAGTATACTAATACGAAGTTTGAAATTTACTCATTTGATCAGAAAATCTTTAAAATCCCACTTAGTATGTTCTATCATATTGTTAGAATGATCGATAATTTCTACTTTTTAGCTTAAAAAATGAGATAATTTCTACTTGCATAATTATGGAAAAAAGATTATTTGAAGAGAAAAAGAAACTCTATTCTTTTTGACAAATTGTTGGATTTTGGTTCTACTTACGTTCAGCAATTATCCTCGGTTTGAAATTGTGTACCATGGTAAATTAACACGCAAAACTAGAAAACAAAATGATTAAAATAAAATATTGGAAGGATGTACGTATCTTTAAGCCTTTTATGTATATTGTTCTACTAATTAAGCATATACTAATAGATTAAAAATGCACAAGACCAAATTTTCCTCGAGTCATAACCGAACCTTCTTGCATGTCGACTTCCTGTTTCCTCTCTCTCTCTCTCTCGTGTCCCTTAGAATGTTTGTTAACTGCCTAAAATTATGAAACGTAATTCATTTAATTTCGTTCTATAGATAACAATAGCTCTTTTCAAGAGAAACAAAAAAGTCTATTAGTTTCTTGGATGAAGGTTTTTGTTTGTCTTATATATATTTATAAATTTTAATTTGATTATCTTATTACATATGACTAGCGAATATATCTCATTGCAGTATTTGGAAACAAGACAATAGCTTTTCCACGGACAAATCTACAACATACATCTTTATTTATATACCACAAGGAAAGGATCCATCATAGATAGTTCTACTTATTTATACATGTACCACACTAACGATAGACATATATATTTTTAACATGCACGACCATGAAGAACTGTCCTATTTGTACCACGCTCAAAATCTCAAGTAAGATTTTCTTTAATAATCTGCATAACTTCAAATTTTATAAGAATCCCCATACTTGATGTAGAAGTACATTAACAAACTTGCATGTGATTTTTATTTTTCTTTTTTTAAATCTTCCAATCAAACAAAGATATGTCAAATAAATGCGTGGTCCGAATCAAATCTTTTTTTGCTTTCCTCGACATTGCTTTTCCATTTTCTAGGCTCCACCTAAGTTTGCAGAGATAACACTTACAAAGACCAGAGCCGCCGTGCGTGTTATCCCTTAACACCTGAGGCCTTTTGAATCTTGAAGTGTTGAGTAACCCTCGATATTTTACACTCTAAAATCTCACGTTTTACCAGATTTGACAACGGATCTCCCGCAAAAATTGAAGTCAGAACTATCACTCATTCCGTAGTATGGATCTTTGACTCTTTCTGCAGTCGCTTGGTCTTATGTGATTATGTCTAATTTGATAGAATCTTGAAGACATCATCCCCGTCGTCCCATACGTGCTTTTACCAGTTATTCATGCCTCATGAATAGTTTCAACCAGTTTTTTTTTGGTTAAAAGTTTCAACCAGTTTAAAGTATATAGAGGCGATTGCTTAATTAATGACGACACAACGTCATAGTTTTTCACTTAATGTCACGATGAGTATTGACTACTATAAAAGAGGTAATGGTTTGGTGGAAAGATATCAAAAATATCCAGCACAGAATTTTAAGGCAATGTTATTTTGAATTCAAACTAGGAAATTTAATATAATACAAGTTAAAATGTCAGAAAAATGTTTTTTTTTTTTTTCTTTCATATGGATTGTAAAGTTTTTGTATTGTTTGTCACTTTGTCCGGTTGGATTTAACATGGATGGCTGGAGTTTTTGGTTATAAAATCATAAGATATTATTATTCATGATGCATGAAGGAAAATGATTTTATCAGTCTCTTTATTTAAAGAAATGTTTCGTTGACTTTCCATTTCTCTACGTAATTTAATAATATGATCCAAATCCCATTAATTTCTGGAATTTTTAAAAATGTTTAAAGACACTCTTCTTGCCTCCTTGGTGTAAGAAAAAATAAATATAAAATGAACGAAAAAAAAATTTCATCTGTCACCATCAATGGTCCAACCTGTAATTCTCTTAATCATCACTCTGTCTCATAAATTTCAAAAAAAACTCTGAGCTCAAACTTTCTTTCTCTTCTTTCAATTTTCAAGAGAAACCAAAATCTCTGTTTTTTGTGTTTTTTTTTTCTCCCCCGAGAAAATTTTCTGGTCGCTTGCAATATCTGAAACCCACCAGAAAAGCTTAAGTTTTGATAAGTTCTTCCACCTTCTTTCAACCTATCTCTATCCCACCCATGAAATTTTCTCGGGAAAACATGAACTTGATTTTCCCGGAAATCAAATCAACCCAGAATTTCATCTCCCCTTCACCACCACCACCACTCCGATCAAACTCAAGCTTCGATTTTAGCAGCAAAATCAGCCCAAACATCCTCATGATAATCATAATCCTCTCGATCATCTTCTTCATCTCCGGTCTCATCCACATCCTCGTCAAATTCCTCCTCACACCATCGTCTCAAAACAGAGATGATTACTTCGACAACAACGTCACAGCTTTTCAAGGCCAGCTTCAACAGCTTTTCCACCTCCACGATTCCGGCGTCGACCAATCATTAATCGACACGTTACCCGTTTTCCACTACAGATCCATCGTCGGCTTCAAAATCTCACCTTTCGATTGTCCCATTTGTCTCTGCGAGTTCGAAACAGAGGACAAGCTTAGACTCTTGCCTAAATGCAGCCACGCCTTTCACGTTAATTGTATCGACACCTGGCTCCTCTCTCACTCGACTTGTCCCCTTTGTAGATCCAATCTCCTCCTCTCTGATTTCTCATCTCACCACAGTCTAAGCTCCTCGTATCTCCTTGTTCGTGAATCAGCGAGTGAGCAAAGCTCGAGAGATATGATAGTTCATATTCCTGAAGCTAATGATCTCGGGTCGACCCGTTTTGGGTCGGGTCGTAAATTATGTGACCCGGATGGTGAATTGGATGGTTTAGATGAAAAGTTTGTTCCTTTACAAGTTAAGCTAGGGAAGTTTAGGAACATTGATCATGTTGGTGAAGGAAGTGAGAACAAGAATTGCATTGTTGGTAATAGTAGCAATGTAGATGAAAGGAGGTGCTTCTCAATGGGATCATATGAGTATATTATGGACCAAGAAGCTACACTTAAGGTTCACGTTTCGACCAAGAAACTATCCGACAAAGACCGTCGCTTTCCCGGGCATAGGGTAGTTATGTCCGAATGCGGTTTTGATCCAACGGTTAAGGAAATTGGGAAGAGTGTTGTGGAAACAGAGAGCTTTTCTTTGTCGAAAATTTGGCTTAGGGGTAAAAAGGAGAAGCAAAAGGGTACTACTAGTGCTAGAGATCATGACTGTTCTTCTGCGTCTTCCTCTTCAATCCGATTTCCGAAGAATGGGATCTGTACCGATGAAGAGAATCAAAAGAGCGAAAATTCGGAATCTTTGGATACGAAAACGCCATCTTTTGCTAGGAGGACCATGATTTGGCTTGCAGGGAGACAAAACATGGTTGTTCATCCTTCTTCTACATCACGCGTCTAGTTTTTAATTTGTTTCTCTTGTTAACTTTTTATTCTTTCTTGACAACTGTGTTTGAAGATTTTAGAGTATTATTAAGTGTTGACATTAGAGAGAAAGTAGATGAAAAGTGGGAGCTAATCTCTAGGGTTCTTAACTTATTAGTCACATTGAAAATTTGGTGGGTCTGCAAACAGTGGACGCATTGTTGTAATTCTTGATGTATGACCAACAATTATTAGTCAACCTTGTTTCTTAAAAGATGACCCTTTCTACGTAAATAAGTAATTGGAGACAGGAATGTGAAAAAAGCTACATATCTATTATGGAGTATAAAGACTAAGCGCTCATACTTTTCACATCTCAGCTTCCACATCAGCAAAAACAAGCTAATTAAGCATTAAGCAAGCCACATTTCTTAAGCTACAAATTTAAGTCATGACAAAACGTTCCATATTCTAATCTTTGATTTTGACTGTATAATACATAATTATTAAAGTTTTGACAGTCATGGCTCAGTGATGTCTATATATTAATCAAACATCGCATGTTCATTATTGCTCAGTGTTTTTTTATTGTTCTCATATTTGATCATTGCTTTTTAGCGGATGGATTATATATACACGAGACAAAATATCTCATTATAAGTCTTTTTGTATTCTTACTAACAATGCTTATATAGCTAACAATTTCAAAGAGGTATGTAACCAAAAACTAGCTATAGCTTTGTAAATTGGTTGTATATGATAATGTGTCTTAGTATTCTTCCATGCAAATGTTTGGAGCTAATTTTCAATAACTATGAAAAGTTGCACAAGTTGCAGAGATGGACAAGTTGGTACTTCCGTACTTGGTAATATGATTCGAAATGAAAAAAAAAAAAAACTGTGTTTTGCGAGGTTAGACTGCAACAATGTTCCTGGTGATAATGCATTGGGGGGTCTGAGAATGAAGTGGTTCACACATCTGAAACCGTAGCTGATGTTGTGAGCTGTCAACCTCCTGACATGGTGATGGAGCTGGCTGGGGTTAAGTAAAAATGAAAAATGTTGTGTTTTTTTGTGTGATGATAGGACTTAAAAAAGAAGTGAATTTTCTGATCAAAGAGGAAAACAGAATATGTAGAGAGGAGAAGCTGATTTTGGAACAGTAATTCAAGATGGTCGCCTTCTTCACATCATAGCTATATATAAAAAAAAGTAATTCTGATGAGAGAAGGAGCAACGGTTGAAGATTATAAGTACTTTACCAAAAGGGTTCGATAGGGTTTAAAGAGAGTGGAAAGATGTTAAAGGTTCACGAGAAAGAACTTAAGAGAATCCTTTGGCCAGAATTGCTTATAATGGATATATATTCATGCTAGATACCTCTTTATCAATAATCCTAAATGACCAACCAATATGAGAAAATCAAAGTAAATAAACAAGATGAAAATAAAACCAAAAATCAGTTCAATTAGAATAGGTTAATTTTCTACATCTTATAATAATATATTAATATGGTTCAATTACACTATGTTAAAATATGTATTATATATATATATATATAGAAAATCACATATATTAAAAAAAACCCGCGTGTCAACGTGGGTATTCAGCTAGTTTTGATAATTACTTAAGCTAAAGTAGGTTCTTTTTTTAGTTTATCACTAACGAGAAATCGTTGAAACTGATATATATATATATATGTATATAATATGTTAAAGATAAATAACCATATTAGCATGATTCTAAATTGTTTATACTTCAAATTTCTTGATATTTGAAAATATATTAAGTAATATCTAAGCGAACATAAATAAAATATAAACATAAATAAAATATAAGGAAAACAAAAATAAAATTAAGAAAAATATAAGCAAAATTTTTAAAAATAAGAAGAAAAACATAATTAAAATTTTGCTTATATTTTGCTTATTATTTTACACAAACCAATTTTTTTACACAAACCTAAGATTTTTTGTAGTGGTTTAATTCTAGTAAGAACTTCTGACATTCGCAACCGAGTGATACACAACACCAAGAAATTGAGTACAGCTAAACACTTCGCCAACGCCAATTTGTTGTGTTTAAAATCCGACGATAGTCTGAAAAAATCAAGAACAAGTAATCTAATATGGCAGAAGAAGATTTAGCGTAGACCCCGACTTGGGCAGTGACTGCTTCTCCATAGCTAGAATTACTATAACCGGCAGTGCAGCTTTTCAATAGTATAATGCATTGAAGCAGGGCAGATCTAGATAATTTAATCAATGGGGGGTAATAGCCAATTTCAATTTAATCAGTGAAAATGAGATTTTTTGGGCTTTACCTAGAAAAAAATTGTGTAGGGGCAATATTTTAATTTTTAATGGTGGCATAATTTATTTTTGCTAAACGAGTATTAATAAAAAAAAAATTGAGTGGTGGCATGATTCATTGCAGCGCATCTTATTTGTAGAGAGTGTTAACAAATTACCTGACTCCAATAACAGCATGAAATCCTCCTCCAACGATCTCATTACGTATTTTTGGAAGTTAAATTGTCTTCCTAGACCAAGAGAAAGTAGGTTCTTTTTTTTAGTTTATCACTAACGAGAAATCGTTGAAATTGATATATATATATATATATATATATAAATAGTATGTTAAAGATAAATAACCATATTAGCATGATTCTAAATTGTTTATACTTAATCTTTCTTGATATTTGAAAAATATTAAGTAATATCTAAGCAAACGTAAATAAAATATAAGGAAAACATAAGCAAAATATAAGCAAATTTTTTTTTTTAAATAGAAGAAAAACATAATTAAAATTTTGCTTATATTTTGCTTATTATTTTACACAAACCAATTTTTTTACACAAACCTAAGGTTTTTTGTAGTGGTTTCTAATTCTAGTAAGAACTTCCGACATTCGCAACCGAGTGATACACAACACCAAGAAATTGAGTACAGCTAAACACTACGCCAACGCCACTTATTTATTGTGTTTAAAATCCGACGATAGTCTGAGAAATCCAAGAACAAGTAATCTAATATGGCAGAAGAAGATTTAGCACAGACCCCGACTTGGGCAGTGACTACTTCTCCATAGCTAGAATTACTATAACCGGCAGTGCTGCTTTTCCATAGTACAATGCATTGAAGCAGGGGCGGATCTAGATAATTTAATCAATGAGGGTAATAATCAATTTCAATTTAATCAGTGAAAAATGAGATTTTTTGGGCTTAACCTGAAAAAAAAAATTGTGTAAGGACTATTTTAATTTTTAATGGTGGCATGATTTATTTTTGTTAAACAAGTATTAATAAAAAAAAATTGAGTGGTGGCATGATTCATTGCAGCGCATTAAATCATTCTTGTTTGTAGAGAATGTTAACAAATTACCTGACTCCAACAACCAGCATGAAATCCTCCTCCAACGATCTCATTATGTATTTTTGGAAGTTAAATTGTCTTCCTAGACCAAGATGAACCTTCATAAAGCACAGCATATAGACTCTTAATTAGCAAAAACGACGCGATACTAAATCGACAAATGTTATTTGTAAGGTGAAAAACTCAGAGTGATGAATCCATTTCGCAGTATCAAATAGTCAATTTTCCCAACAGATTTGAAAAACTGTCTGAAGAAACACCTCTGAAAGTGAAAGCATTGTATTAACCGAAAGTGAGTAGTCCTTACAATAGTTATTTGAAATTGACTAAGCATGGAGAGAGTATAACCAATAGGGTGATAGTTCTTACAATATAGAAAAAGAAAGTCCAGAAACTAGGGTGCACTCTTAGAAAAGACGTTTCTTGAGTTAGCCTAAATCTGGAAGTATGTGTAAGCAAGAACAGAGAACACATAGAGTCAATAATGAGAGCTCAAGAAACCACAAAGACAAAGAAGATGTGATCACCTGTTGAAAACTCGTAATCGTGGGATGATGTGTCTTTCTGCTAATGCTTCCATATAGAAAAGACCCATACATATTCTTTAATATTACTGAAAAAATAAGGCTGATAATGTCCAAAGAAACGAATTGGGGTCGATGACTTTAAAAATTAAGCACATGCTTCAGAAAATAAGGCTGATAATGATAACAAAAATCTCACCTCTTTGCATCTTTTGGAAGATGATACATCTCCTGATATGAATCTGTGCTCAAACCACATGAGCTTCCTGTGACCTTCCCCTTTGTCATCTTTCTCATCTTTCCAATATGGATGAGGAGGGCATGGGTGTTGGATAAGCTTTGCTTAAGGCCTAAGACTTCTAACAAGTCTGTTAGAAGAAAAAGGAAAGATTCAAGTATTTCCATATTAGATTATGAGTTATCTAGTTCTAATAGGAAAAAGAAAAGTAGTTAGCAAAGTTATGTTAACACTATAAATAAATCTTTGATGAAGTTGCATTGAAGACTTGAGAAAGAGTTGTGTTGATATTTAGTTTTTGAGCAAGTTTTCTAATCATTAATACAAACGAGATTTCATATAAAGTGTTTATACGACTATATTTAGTATCAGCGCTTGAGTTAGAAGCGATCCAAACCCTAGTCGAGTAAACACGAAGATCATACAATACACAAAGATGGGAGACATTGTACGTATGACTCAAACGAAGGAAACAACTCCGATCTCAATCCAATGTCCCATGTTAACGTCAACAAACTACACGGTATGGGCCGTGAAGATGAGGGTTCTACTGCGAATCAATAAGGTGTGGGAGACGATTGAACCAGGTTCAACCGATGCCAATAAGAACGATATTGCAACAGGTTTATTGTTTTAAGCTATTCTGGAGGTTCTTATCTTGCAAGTCGGCGAGCAGGACTCTCCAAAAGGAATCTGGGACGCGATCAAAGTACGACACATAGGATTGGATCGTGTCAAGGAAGCTCGACTCCAAACCCTAATGTTCGAATTCGAAAGAATGAAGATAAAAGATTCGGACACCATAGATAAATTTGCGGGAAAGTTATCGGAGCTAACCTCAAAAGCAGCTTCTCTTGGACAAAAAATTGAAGAACCAAAATTAGTAAACAACTTTCTCAATAGTTTGCCAAGACACAAGTTGATCCACATTGTAGCCTCACTTGAGCAGGTCCTGGATTTGAAAACAACAAGCTTCGAAGATATAATAGGGAGACTCAAAGCCTACAAAGAAAGAATTCTTGATTCTGAGAATCACGAAGATACACAGGGGAAGCTGCTATACACAAACTTGGAACAACAAACCAGTTCCAGCTCAATAGGGAAAGGACATGGAAGAGGAGGCAGAGGAAACAGAGGACGAAGCAGAGGAGGAAGA